GTTTCGGGTTAAGGGATTTGTTTAAGTTACCATCATGGGGATCTATAGTAAATAATAAGGGTTTCCTTTTTTTTAATGTTATCCCTTAACAAGAACCCAGAAACCGTGGCGAAGAATTCCACAGGCAACCAGCCATCGTGCGAGCCCATCTCCTGTCAGGACTGCTTCAGGGCTCAGGGACTCTATGGGTCGAGGGTCGGGTTTAGGGGTTTAGGGTTTTAGGGGTTTAGGGTTTACAGTTTTAGGGTTTAGGGTTTAGGGGTAGTGTTAATCCTAAACCCCAAAACCCTATAAAATCCAAAAGCCCTAAACCCCTAAGACCCTAAACCCTAAACCGTTTAGAAGATAAGGGTTCCTTCAAGTGAGGTTTACTTCAGGGCGCTGCGGAGTTACTGTAGTAGGTAGGGTTATAACTTGGGATTATGAGTGCCCTAGCTACGGTTGATGATATGAATCCTGCAATCCCCATAAGAAGGAATATACCCATAATTCCCGTAGTTTAGGGTCCTTCAGATAATGGAGGATTTATATCATCAACAGTAAGGAATATCCTAATTACAGCCTTCTTACATACTATAGTAGATGCCCAAAAGTTGGAAGCCTCAATCCCTAAGAGTAATGTATAGGGAATCCCAGCACTATTTGTCCTTAATCCGGTTTCCAACTTTTTGGGGTTTACTATAAGTCCGAGGAGCCTCCAAGTCGGGTGGTCTGTTGAGAGTTTAAAGCGGGGTTGAAACTCAAGGACTAGGTGACGAGGAACATTCTTGCTTGGGTTTCCCTCGGAAACCCTAAACCCTAAACCCCAAAACCCTAAACCCTAAACCCCAAAACCCTAAACCCTAAACCCTGGTCTACTTGTTTAATTTTCTATACCCGGAACGGAGGAGCTAGGCCGAGAGTTGAGGCTCAAGGCCTTTCGTCGGAATTTTTTGGGGGGCTTCCCGGTCTCTTCTGTTGGAGGTTCTGCGGATTGGGTTTAAGGTTTAGGGTTTAGGGGTTTTGGGTTTTGGGGTTTTGGGTTTTGGGGTTTTGGTTTTGGGGTTTAGGGTTTAGGTGTAGGGCCTCCGCGGTTCAAGGTGACTGTTTCGGGGGTTGAAGGGCTATGCTCGGAGATAAACCCAAGAACCTTCTTCGACGGGAGTTTTGAGGGTTTTGAGCCTAGTTTCAACCCCAAGCCCTAAGCCCGAAACCCTAAACCCTAAGCCCTAAACCCTAGACCCTAAGCCCTAAACTCTGAACCCTAAGCCCTAAACCCTAATCCCTAAAACCCTATTCCCTAAACCCTTGTGGCTTAATTTGGGGCAGCCCGAGACTAAAGCCCTGTGAGTTTCGATGCTCGAATCTTCTTCGGGAGGCCTCGAGGTAGGGTGTAGGGTTCTAGGGATTTAGGCTTCAGGGGTTTAGGGGTTTAGGGTTTAGGATTTAAGGGGTTTAGGGTTAGGTGGTTTAGGGGTTTTTCAGCGGTGCTATGTTGAAAAAGCAGGACAACCAATAAGCGCGGACTCTACGCCGAAACAAAGGGAAAATCCTAATTTCCTAGCCCCAAAATCCCGAACCCTTTAAACCAAACAAAACAGCCTAAACCCTTAACCCTTAACCCTTAAACCTAAACCCTAAGCCTCAAGGACCTGCTTCTTGACGCCATCTACTCCCACAACTGCATGTCGAAGCGCTTCGGGGACACCTGCGGCGTCAGCTGCGCCACCGGGTCCCCTGACTGCCTCTCTTGATCTCAGATTGTGAGTTCGATGAGGCTTCTTTGAAGGCCGTGTTCTGTAATTAAGGGTTTCTACAAGGCTTCTTGAAGGGTTTCTTAAAGGTTCTTTAGGGGCTCGGGGTTTAGGGCTTCATGGGTTTAGGGGATTAGGGGCTAGAGGTGTCGTGCCTTGGTTTTTTAGGATCGTGCTCTCGAGGTGACTGAGGGGTTCAGATGGGAGGTCATAAATGTGTGTATATGTATATATATATATGTGTGTAGATGTAGATGTAGATGTAGAACTAGATGTCCATGTATATATATATATGTATATATGTAGAGAGAGAGAGAGAGAGACATGCATCGGAGCGAGCCGCTTACATCTAATGCCCACGACGAGCCAAAACCCTGAATTGAACCCGAAGCCCTGGACACAATGAAGCAGCATCCCGTAGGTTTTCTATGGGCGTCTCAGTCCCGTACTAAGGTTCAGGGTTTAGGGGTTTAGGGTTTAGGGAAAAACTACAGTATAGTTTCTGATACACCCTAAACCCTAAAAAGCGAAAAAAATGCTGCAACCCCGTGCCGTGAATCCCGAGGTACCACCTCAGCGGATGGGGATCTCAGTACGTGTGTGGGGCAGATGGTGCCTTTGAAGGGGCCCCATGGAACGCACTTGGAGGTTCAGGGTTTAGGATTTTAGGGTTTAGGGTTTTAGGGGTTTAGGGGTTTAGGGTTTAGGGTTTACTTGGAGGTTCATGGGTAGTTATATGTGGAGTTATAAGTCCCCTAATATGAGCTATAATTGTAGTTACCCTACTTATAACCCCACTTATAATTACCCATGAACCTCCAAGCACCGAGATGAGGTTTAGGGCCATTAAGTTTCTAAGTCTCTAGTGTTTCAGGCTCTATGCTACTTACCCAGTAGCACTATTATCCTGGGGTGCAATGTTTGATTACAGAATAAGAGTAATATACACCACAATCCTGAGGGCAGTCTGGGCCCAGAGTCTTTTGTGGCGGGTTGGTTGGGAAAGCGGAGATCATCAAGGTCATCGCCATCGCCTTCCTCCTCCTCATCATCACCATCATCACTGTCAGCATCACCACCATCATCAGCATCATCATCGTGGTCATCATCATCGTCATCATCTGCATCATCAACGTCACCATCATCATCATCGTCATCATCATTATCACTGTCAGCATCATCATGTTCATCGTGGTTCTTATGATGGTGATAGTGATGATGACGGTGTTGGAGTGATGTCGATGATGATGATGGTGATGTTGATGATGAGGTAACTGCACTGGCACCAGATATGTAAACGACCTAACCACCGCTGTAACAGTGCCATACTCTTGTCGGCAAGGATTGGCAAGGCTACGGCTACGACTCCTGTTGTGTCTGTCTGCAGATCGGCTGGTTCGCAATCGCTGACCGTTCCCACATGCGTGTGTGTGTGTGTGTATGTATATATATACATATGCATGCACACAGGCTACCAAACACTAGTCTAATTGCAAGGCCCCTACACTGCCTAATCTTGCTGTGGCTTCTTCGAGTTGAATTCCGGAACGCTGAGAGCCAACACATACTTGTCCCAGCTCCAGCTGCCCTACTTACTAGCGGGTTTAGGGTTGAAGGGTCTAGGGTATAGGGACACTCGACAAAATTGTCCACATAGATGCAGAAAGCTTTCAGGTCCTTCCACAGTGCAACGGCAATCCTTGCCAAAACACGGTGGATGACCCTGCGCTGGATTCAAGTGCCTGCAACAGCCTCACCACCGGTGAGGCTTGCAACGTCACTTGCCAAGCCGGCTTCGGTTTCAACCAGACCACTGTAGTCTGTGGAGCCTCTTAGATAGCCAATGGGAGAACTTTAACCTTTTTGGCCTTGTATATATACATATATATATGTATATATTAGGTCTATCCTAAAAAAGTTTGAACTTTTTTGGGCCTGGTTGTTGAAGAAGAGAGGCATCCGGCTTCTTCTCTGGGGTCCTTCCCATCTGCAGCCCTTTGCCCTGCACCGCCGTCCCAGAGCCTTGGCGTTCTTCTGGTTGGATCTTAGGACTTTAACTTTTTGGGTTTCTATATGAACTAAAATAAGTAGGCTAAAGCCCTAAGCCCTAAACCCTAAGCCCTAAGCCCCTAAACCCTAAACCCTAAACTCTTTTAGGGCACATGGAGCCTTAGGGAGGCTAAGGCCCTAAACCCTAAACCCTAAACCCTTTTAGGGTTAGGGTTCAGAGGGTTTAGGGTTTAGGGTTTATAGGGTTTAGGGTTTAGGGTTTAGGGGTTTAGGATTTAGGGTTTAGGGGTTCAGAAGTCAGCCAAGGAGCTTCAGCACCCGACGCTCGCGCACTCCTGCGACTCCGTGCCCTTCGGCACGTCCTGCGTGGTCTTCTGTGCGACTCCGGGCGGCAAGTTGGGACTATGGGCTTAGGGGTTTAATTTAGGGTTTATAGGACTTTATTAGGGTTTAATTAGGGTTTAGGGTTTAGGGTTCAGGGTTTTAGTAGGGTTTTTGTTAGGGTTTGAGGTTTAGGGTTTTATTGGGTTTAATTAGGGTTTAGGGTTTAGGGGTTTTGGGGTTTGGGGGTTTAGGGTTTTAGGGTTTTATTAGGGTTTTGTCAGGGTTTAGAATCCTAAATCCAAAAAATCCTAAACCCTAAACCCAAAAAAGCCTTTAAACAAGGAGTTTAGGGTTCAGGGTTTAGGGCTTGGAGGAATGGCTACGTCTTCAGCAATGGCAGCTCAGCGGAGACGTGGCAGTGCCGCCTCAATGCCACCACCGGGGCGACGAGCCTGGAAGGCCGTCTGCCCTGTCAAGGTTCGCGTAGGTGTCCCCCAGAAAGATAGTTCTCTAAAGTAGGGTCCCTTGCAGGGTTCCTTTTTATAAGGGTGCCGTACTATATTGGGGGCCGAAAAGTGACTCTAATTTAAAGAGCTACCCATGGGGTTCAGGGTTTAGGAGTCTAGGTTCCAGGGGTTCAGGGTTCAAGGTTTCGGGTGTTATGTACTTTTGCTATTCCTCTAGTAAGTTTTCATCGTGGTGTTTTAAGGACAAGCAAGCACCAAAAGGCCAGTTGCCCATAAATCACCGTTTCTTTTTCTTGTTATTGGAACCTCATATCATTTTCTAAACCCCAAACCCTAAATTCTAAACCCCAAAACCCAAAATTCTAAACCCCTAAACCCCCAAACCAGACACCCCATAACCCCTAAACCCCCTTGTAGATCCCCTTATAGATCCCTTTTAAAGCCCCTGGCCAAAGACACGCCCAAGGCTTGCTGCCCAGCTGTGAAGCCGAGCTTTGCAGCAGTGGCCTCCCGGCGGCCAGTCCAAGGGTCGCCGACAACTGCACGGGAATCCGAACAGGCCAGGCTTGGGAGGGTGTTTATAGGGTTCCTTTCAGGGTATACGAGGCCGGGATGTAGGTTTTAGGTTTGTTGGGTTTCGGGTTTAGGGGTTTTAGAGGGTTTTCCGGTTTAGGGTTTATAGGGTTTAAATAGGATTTGTGTAGGGTTTGTAGGGCTTATAGGGCTTATAGGGTTTATAGGGGGGGCTTATAGGGTTTTTAGGGTTTTGTAGGGTTTATAGGGTTTTTAGGGTTTATAGGATTTATAGGTTTCTAGGGCTTTTAGGGTTTAGGGCTTGTAGGGTTCAAAGGGTTTACAGGGTTTATAGGGTTTAGGGTTTAGGGTCTTATAGGGTTCCTTTCAAAGGGAATAAATACAAAAGGGTTCTTTAAGGGGATCTATGAACGGGAATCCGTGGAGGCCGGGATGTAGGTTTTAGGTTTGCGGGGTTTAGTGGGGTTTAGTGGGGTTTAGGGTTTAGGGTTTTTGGGGGGTTTTCGGGGTTTGAGCGTAGGACTCACAATCCGAACAGGCCCGGGCAGTTTTTTTGTAGGATATTTTTGGGATAGGGTTTTATCAAATGGGTTTAAGGATTTGTGTAGGCTCGCCGTTTGTAATTATAGAGCTTCTACCTAGAGACTCCAATACCCCTTAATTAAGGGATATACCTTAAATTATAGTAGGGATCCCTACTATAGTTTAAGGTATATTCCTTAATTATGGGATATTGGAGTCTCTGGGTATGGGTGCTCATCTGGTTCTCTACAGGTTCCCGCCGGGTTTCCATGGGCTCTCTCGGGGTTTATAGTGTCTAGGGTTTAGTTTTGATTGTCGCATAAGGCTTGATAAGGGGCACTGTAAAAGGTTTTTTTAGTAATAACAATATTAATAACAGTAATTATTGTTATTACTGTTATTACTATTATTATTATTACTGTCATTATTATTACTAGTATTATTGTTATATATATACACACATACATACTTGTTTATTTATTTACTGCTGATGGCTTACAGTATAGGGTGTCTGTCTTACAGGCTTTGCAGCTTTTAGGAGGGTTCCCGGCTTGAGGGTCTTCTGGGCTCCATTAGGGTTTAGGGTCTATAGGGCTTATAGGGTTTAGGGCTTATAGGGTTTAGGGTTTATAGGGTTTAGGGTTTAGGGTTTCATATTTCTTGGGTTGGCGAATTTAGCAAAAGACTCCTGCAGGTGAAGCCTGCGAGAGGAGCTGTGCGCAGGGCTTCTCCGGCGAGGATGTGGTTTCTTGGTAGCCAAGTCGGTTTAGGGTTTCAGGGTTTAGGGTTTAGGGTTTAGGGAGTGGATACACTTTACACTTTTTGGGGAGAATAGGGGATAATACTACCCACTAACCCTAAGCCCTATAAACCCTATAAACTCTATAAGCCCTAAACCCTAAACACTATAAACCCTATAAGCCCTAAAGCCTAGAAATCCTATAAACCCTATAAGCCCTATAAACCCTAGAAACCCTATAAAAACCCTAGAAACCCTAGAAACCCTGGAAGCCCTAGAAACCCTATAAACCCTAAACCACTAGAAACCCTTGAAACCCTATAAACCGTATAAACTCTATAAGCCCGATAAAAACCTTAGAAACCCTAGAAACCCTATAAAACCCTAGAACCCCCAGAAGCCCTAGAAACCCTAGAAGCTCTAGAAACCCTATAAACCCTAGAAACCCTGGAAATCCTAGAAGCCCTAAAACACCCTAGAAACCCTAGAAATCCTAAATAAACCCCTAAAAACCCCCTACGTCACGAAGGTCTACGTCTGCACCAGCGATGGAGCGGCCGTCAGCAACTCGAGCTCGCACTGCAGCCCACTGGCCTGCAACGTGTCGGAGGCTCCGGAGACGCTCGGGCCGAAAAAGAGGGGGGATCTTTAAGGGTTCCTTAAAGGGATCTATAAGAGGTTCCTTTCAGGGTTCCTTTAGGGTTCCTTTAAAGGGATCTATAAGGGTTTTAGGGGTTTAGGGATTTAGGGTTTAGGGGTTTGGGGTCTAGGGTTTAGGGGCTTAGGTGTTAGGGCTTGGGGCCTCCTAAACCCCATTTGGGGGGGGGGGGGTTCCTTGTTATAGTTATTGTATAATATACCCCTAGACCTTATTCTAATTATCAAGGCCCCGACAGTATCCATTCAGTAGCTTTCAAGCGCTTTCAAGCGCTAAGCCCCAAACCGAGTTGGAAGCTGGAACCTCCTTGCTTTTAGAATCAACCTATGTAGCCATACAAACCCCATAGTCTATAACAAATCCCATCTACTACAGAAACCTGCAAAAGTCTAAGCAGCTTCACCACAACTCCCAGCTGCAGCAGCCTGAATTCCCTGCAAGCTCGAGGAGTAGTCCCTTCTTTGGAAGGGGGGGCGGTCGGGGATTTAGTTGGGGTTTGGGACCATCCGCAGGGGTGTCTATTGGTGTGAAGGGTCATGCGACGTAGGAAGCTTGTTCTATTCGGGGGAAACCCTAAACCCTGAACCCGAAACCCTAAACCCGATCAGATTACCCACCACTATAGCCCTACCTACATACTACACGCTAAGTTCCTGGAGCCTCCAAGTAAAGATTAGGTTTTAAGTGTGTAGGGTTTATAGGGTGTAGGGCAGTGTCGGGGTTATAGGGTTTATAGGGATAAGAGGGTTTAGGCTTAGGGTTTGGGGTTTAACTGGTCCTAGGTAGCATTAGGGAAGCCCCTTAAAGGGGACCCTTCTGAACCCTACTTATGGCTCTCTTGAAAGGGGACCTTACTAAGAGGGTCTATATCCCCAAGCGTCCCCCTAAGCCTAACTCCTAGCTGAGGAATGTTATCCACACCTGCAGCGGCATTGTCTTCGGCGGTGGCTGTTCAGCCTTCTGTGCACCCGGCTATGGCGACGCCAGTGGCAGCCTTGACGGCACTTGATAAACTAGGCCTTACGGTAATCCCAGAAACGTTGTTGGAACATAGTTTAACAATAATGCAATAATGTACGTATAATATCCTTAAGTATACGATCATATACTAGAATATGCCACAGTTTCAATACATTGGGCACCAAGAGGACCGTCAAGAGAATCATCTGCCAGCCTTGTGGCTTCTACTTGCTTGACTTAGGTCCAAGTTAGTGGTTTGGGCGATGATTTCTGGGGTTTAAAACCCTAAACCCTAAACCCTAAGCACAACGCCCTAAACCCTAAACCCTACACCCACTGGGCCCCTTGGGATGTTTTAGGGATTGCCGGCTGTCAGGGTTTCGGGGAATTTGAGAAGAATTGAGAGCCCTCCTGCGCCCCACGCCCCCCACCTCGAAGACCGAAGAGCCCTTCCTGAAGATCTTACATTTGGGGGCCTTGATAATTAGAATAAGGCTTTGTGGCCCATTATACTTTAAGTATAATAAGGAACCCCTCCCAAAAATGGTATAGGTACTTATTTAGGACCCTACAGCACGTACATTGCAAGGCACCCCCCGGGCCACCCCCATGGTTTAGGAGCTGGAGGATGTATGGTCTCGTCTAGTCTTGTCTGGTACAGTATACCACAGTCCAGTCTAGTAATTATGTTGACCTTCAACCTAAACCCCTAAACTTTATAAACCCTAATCTCGTAGACCCTAAACAAACCTTAAAGAAACCCAAAACCCTAAACAAACCTGAGAGAAACCCTAAACCGTGAAGCCTAGACCCTGCCCAGGGAGCAGCGTGCAAAGTTGGAGCTGCGAAGGAGCCACCAAACCCCGAACCCTAAAACCCTAAACCCCAAAACCAAAACCCTAAACCCTATAAACCCTAAACCCTAAAGCCCTAAACCCTAAACCCTAAAAACCCTATAAACCCTAAATCCTACAAACCCTATAAACCCTAAACCCTAAAGCCCGAAACCCTCTAAACCCTAAACCCTGAACCCTACAAACCCTAGACCCCTAAAGCCCTGAAGGAGCCGAGTCTGGGCTGGACCTGATCCCCGGCCAGGGCACCAGCGGCTCGAAGGGTTTAGGGTTTAGGGGTTAGGGGTTAGGGTTTAGGGTATATGATCTAGGGTTTAGGGTTTAGGGGTTTAGGGTTTAGGGGTTTAGGGTTTAGGGTTTGGGGGTTAGGGGTTAGGGTATAGGGTCTAGGGTTTAGGGTTTAGGGTTGCGTTGGAGAGAAGAAAAAAGGCGGTTCTCTAAGCTCCGGTCCCCTGTTTAGGTCCCCAATATAGTGCGGCACCCTTATGAAAGGACCGTAAAGGGGATCCTAATTTAGAGAACTGCCTGTACTCGACGAGATTATAATATAGTAGAGTATACTGCAACATAACAGACTATACTAGACTACACTATAGAAGGACATACTAGCTTCTCTTCTTCTGAACCCATCGAAACGGGTCTTATGGCTTACAGGTAGAGTAGAGCCGATGGGGTGTTGCCACCCTAAACCTCTAAACCCTAGACCCTAAAACCCTAAGACCCTGTAAACCTCCAAACCCCAAAAACCCTAAAACCCTAAGACCCTGTAAACCTCTAAACCCTAAAACCCTAAGGCTTGAAGCCCTAGAGCCCTAAACCCTCAGAGCCCTAAACCCTAAACCCTAAACTCTTAACCTGGGTTCTTGTTAGGGGATTTAAATTAAATTACCATAATAAGGAAACCATGTCATGTAGTATAGATCCCCATTAATGGTAACTTAAATGAAATCTCTTAACAACAACCCCTAAACTCGAGGGTGGATTTCAGTGTCTTGGGCAGGCGAAGGCTTGGGGTGTTCGGCCTTTGGCTGTTTGGTCCTTGAGGGATTTTTTTGTGTAAAACATGGGGGGCTATGAGATCCCAAGACACTGTGCCCTGCGGTTTAGGGTTTAGGGCCCAGGGTTTAGGGTGTAG